ATTTTTTCCATTACAATTCAAGAAACTTCCCTTTCAAAAATTTGTCAGAGCTTGCAGTCAACCAAACAGAATTTATAAATGTAGCTATGCAACTACCTAAATGAATACACTGTCTCAGAGCAACAAAACTGTATGCGGTCTGTTTCTGGCCACCAAGTGGGTAAAAAGTCTCTAACTCACAACATGAGAAGCATCATACTGCATCAGGACCCAGGCCATCTAGGTCAATGTTTTGTTTCTGACGGGGCATCAGGAGACATTTTGTGAGAAACACTACTGTTCTCTGTGATATTAATATACTTCATGTATCTTTTTATACCCAAATAATAGAAATGAGGGTCTAGAAAACCTCTAAGGCCCTTTATGACTTCAAAGCCTTGATAGAAATATGGAGCTAGAATTCATAAATTTGTCTAAATGTTTCGTGATACATTTTTTATTGTCATAGTGAGATTATGATATAAAACAATCAAATTTTGAGACACTATAGGTTTTAGTATTTTAGAATCTGGTGAATATGTTTATATTTGCTTTCACAGTAATCTAAGAAAGACCAAACTCTGTCAAATTCAGTATTCTATTTCCAAATGGTGTGTAACACCATGGTGTTCCTGCAGTTGTCAACTTCAAGTTGTCCTGGACATAGAATAAAGCATTCCCGATTCCTCATAATTTAAAAACTTTGATCCAATTCTTTATCAGTCTTCATCTTCACAAACTGAAGTAACTTTTATTCTAAATTCTTAAATGAGAGAGACTTCCCTACAAGGACAAGATAGTATAAGTTTCCCTAGTCTTATGCTGATAATTTAAATTTTTATTATATTTATAAAGAAGACCTTTCCTTACTAGAAGACTTTCACTATAGCAGCAGACTAACTGAGAACTGTAAAACATCAGAACTAAAGGGAACTAAGACCGCAAATGCAACTTTCTACTTTACAAATGAGGAAACTGAGGCTTAGTGTTGATAACAGGCTTTTCTATAGTATAAGAAGAAACCCTAAGCTAGATCCAGTAAAGCAGTGCTCTTAAAACTGCAGATCAGGACCAACCAATTCAGTGCTACCAGCATTTTTAAAAAGCAACAGAGTACAAAATATCAGAGGCTTTTCATGTAGTGAAGACAAGTATTGTTTCATAAAACTTTTGTTTCCGTTATATGAATGTGATGAATCATAATGTAAAATGCATTTATTATAGTAGTCAAAAATTTTAGAAGTCATTGCAATAAAGTATTAATTCTTTGAGTGGATTTTAAAATTTATTCTTATTTTAAAATTATTATTGTTAAATAAGTATTCAATAATTAATAAAGTAATATTAGTAATAAGATAACTATCATTAAGCGATTGTGATGTGACTTATTATTTATTACGATGACTCACTTTTAAGCTAATAAAAATATCTCTGCATTAAATACTAAATGCCACCATTTAAAAGAAGCATTTTTTCCTGCTTTAAAAGAAAACAGATTCTGAATGTTATACCCCTGTATCATATTTGAATAGACTTTTTTTAAAGTATCACATTCCTGTTGAGCTTATTATATGTGCAATAGCTACACAAACTCTTTAAAATACTGAATTCTAGAATGCTGATCATTAGCACATAAAAATATCATTCTCTGTGAAAACACAGTGACCTCTAGTGGACTCATTAAATAAACTGACATAATTCTTGCCCGTAAGAATTTAGAAATCAAGGTAACACTGACACATCTAGGTATAAAATACTAGTACACTGATACGGTTATATACTAAAAAGCATTATACATAAATAAAGGCTATACTTGCACTATGTACAATGTGACAGTGTATATTATAGATTGGTTACAATCAAGTGGAATATGATGAAAGAATTCTGGCATGGTCAGAATCTATCAATAGCTTAAGAAATTAATACCCTTTCTGAGCTTATTTGATAGCAGTTGGATTAAATTACCTCTAAGGATCCTTTCGGCTCTTTAATTATGATCCTTTCTTTAATTTATTTTGTACACCAATGCCAGATTAAATTCGGTTCAAAAACATTTGATGGCTCCCCAGTACTTGAGGACATACCAAACTTAGCTTGGCCTCTTGTTATCTATCATTATCTTCTATTTTTTCCTAAAACATACCCTTTTTTTCAAGTGAGTTAATGTTCTCACTATCTACTTCCAACATCCCAACCCACTCCTGTAAGTTTATTTTCTCATATCTGCTTATAGTTTCTCATTGTGTAATGTTTTATTCTCACTACTTACATAATAGGTCGCCATTAGAATAAGTACAAATTTGTTTCACTCATGGATATGTATTTGGCCATCCCAATGAGATTTAAACTTATAGGTTGGACTTTATACATGTGTGTAATCTGCCATGTACTAAGCACATACTACACATTTTGAATGTAAACTCAATTGATTAGCTTAGATTAGGGAAACCAAGGACATTTTCATGTTTCTTTTTACTTTTTTATATTTTTATTATTTTTTAAAACATATTTTTATTGATTTCAGAGAGGAAGGGAGAAGGGGCAGAGAGATAGAAACATCAATGATGAGAGAGAATTACTGATCGGCTGCCTCCTGCACTTCCTATTGGGAATTGAACCTGTAACCTGGGCATGTGCCCTTGACCTGAATCGAACCCGGGACCCTTCAGTCCGCAGGCCAAGGCTCTATCCACTGAGCCAAACCCGCTAGGGCCATCTTTCTTTTTTAGTGAGGTAGGGATGTACATATAGGTAAGGTAGAATTTCAAGAACCACAAATATAAAGTGACAGGGTTTCATATTTCAGGAAAAAGTGGGCATTCTGAACATAGGATGGTAAGATTTTAGAAAAAAATTAGAGGGAAGAACTATTTTAAATTAGCTAAAGGAAGTAACTATGACTAAATTTGAAGAAAACAGAGATGACAGAAAAGGTGGTTTGGTAAACGGTTTTGAAGCAGTTGAAGCAGATATGATGACTGGCTAAATGAAAGGGCTAAATTTAAGTAGAGAAGATATCTTTGGATGTAGGGGTAAAGACAATGTAAGGAAACAGCAGTTTTAACAGCGGGGAATGGAATATATTGTTGATGTAGGGCTAAGGAAGGTGATGGACAGCTCTTGTGATAGAAATACTAAGAAAGGAGATAAAGAGCAATAGTTTAAAAGGTGCTCTCAGCTTCCCAGTCAACTTGGACAATGCTACAATCTTTTATCCTCCAAAGAAGAAAGTCAGATAGGCTGGTAGAGAAATGAGGAACAATTTAGTCTTCCTTATGTTTAATTCAATTAACAAAGGCCATAGGGTGATATATTTTACATATTCTAAACCACACAGGAATGGATCATCAGGCAAAGGTGTCTGCCAACAAAGATACTGTCATCAGTACAATTAGGGCTAAGTGAACCTGCAGTAGCATCGCATTACACCATTCATCAGATAAGACTAAGAGTTTTGTTTTGTTTTTTTAGGTAAATATCTTTCATCAACTTGCATCTCAGTACATTTATGTCATTGACTCTATTTAGAAAAGATCCTATTTTACCACAAATAACAATGCCTAGTGTTGTTATAATATTGTCTATCAAATATGAATTACTTGGTATATTATCTCATTAAGCCTGTGTTTGGAATTTCTAGATAATATAGCTTAATTATATATGTATATGTATGTGTGTGTGTGTGTGTGTGTGTGTGTGTGTGTGTATATGCCTAAGTGACCGTCGCAACCGAACGGACGACCGAACAGGCTGTGTGGGGCGACTAGGCTGGCAGGGGGGTTAGTGAGGGGCGACCAAACATCCGAGCAGCAGGCTGCATGGGTGACCAGGCCAGCGGGGGTGGGGGGAGGCAGTGAGGGACAACCTGGCCAGCAAAGGGGGGCAGTGAGGGGTGACCAGGCCAGTAGGGAGGGCAGTTGGGGGTGACCAGGTGAGCAGGGAGGGCAGTAAGGGGCTACCAGGACAGTAGGGTGGGGCAGTTAGGGGCGACAAGGCCCAGTGGGGGGGGGGGGTTGGGGGGGAATAGGCCAGCGGGGGGGGGGGGGGCAGTTGGGGGTGGCCAGGCTAGCAGGGGGACAGTTAGGGGCAATTAGGCTGGCAGGCAGGTGAGCAGTTAGGAGCCAGTGGTCCGGGATTGTGAGAGGGATGTCCGACTGCCTCTTTAGGCCCGATCCCCAAGATCGGGCCTAAACAGGCAGTCGGACATCCCCTGAGGGGTCCCGGATTGGAGAGGGTGCAGGCTGGGCTGAGGCCCCGCACACCCCCCGCACGAATTTCATGCACTGGGCCTCTAGTATAACAATAATTTTTGTTAGTCTTTTTATATTATTATGCCATTTGTCCCCACAATAATAAATTTTCTCTCAAATTCAGCAACTACTAAAATGTTGTAAATGCTTAAACATTTCCCAAGAGGCAAAATTCCAGGAATGTCCATAAACCTTTTTGCTAAAAATGACTCTCAATTGGGGTTCTTTAAATTTATAAAATATTATACTGATGTTTAAGAAAATTGAACAAATTAGTAACGTGAACTTTTAAATCTTAGAACATAGTTTCCTAACAACAAACTGAGATGAGTTGGATTCCAAGATCCAGTATATTCTGAAAATATTTAACATTCTTACTCCAGGACTACTATATTAATAGAAATATTAAAAGAAATAACTGGCCGAGAGCACCTTTCTATTTACTAGATGGGATGCTACCTGATTCATGATTCATTGAAAAAGCCAATTAAATCTTTTAAAAAGAAAGAATGAACCAGTGTAGCAGGAAGCAAAGTTCAAATTTTGTGATTAAAGCTAAAATAATACACAAAACATTTGCATGTATTAATTTTCTGATTTTAAGTGTAAAATCCCTAATAGTTATTCTTAAAATATAACCATTTCCCCACAATTAAAATGTATACAGTGGTATATTCCAAAGAGACTTAGATCTATTTTCTGCATACCTCAAAAAGCAGAAGGAAATTTTTAGAATATACGGACAAATGTATATACAATGATTTAAATTACCTTTCTTCTTCTCGAACCCATACTGGAGTTTTAGGAATTTGTGCTTCAAAAAACTTAGATGCTTTATAACAAAAATTGCTGCAAAAACACTGAAAAAAAAGTAAACTAGTTAGTTTTTTTAATTGTGAAACACAGCATATGTACAAAAGAGAGTATAAAACATAAATATGTAGTTCAAAGAAAAAAATGAAAACCCATGAATCTACCACCCAAGGTAAGAAATAAGGTAGAATACCTTCGAAGGCCTCTATGTGCCCCTCTCTGATGGCACCACGTCCCACATTCCCCAGAGGTAACCAGTATTATTAATTTTATTGCTCATTTCTTTGCTTTCTCTTAGTTGTGCTGCCTATACATATCCTATCCTATATCTAATCTAATAAAAAACAAACATGCAAATTGACCATACCTTCACTATGCCTTAAGCAACGCCCACCAGCCAATCAGAGCGAATTAACCCAACCAAGATGGCGGCAGGAAGCCACGGAGCTAGAGCGAGCAGGAGGCTTGGTTGCTCCAGTGGAGGAAGCCAAATTTCCTGCCTGCTGTGGCCGGCTCTGAGCTCCACTCAGGCAACAAAGTTTCAATTATAGAGGTAAATAAATCCCAGAATAAAAAAAGAAAAAAAGGAGAGGCTGGGAGCTTCCATCACCGGGGGCCTTGGCCAGCCTCAGCCCCTCACCCAGGCTGGCCAGGCATCCCAGTGGGGACCCCCACCCTGAAGGGGGTGTGACCAGCCTGCAAACAGCCATCAGCCCCTCACCCAGGCTGGCCAGGCACCCCAGTGGGGACCCCCACTCTGAAGGGGGTGTGACCAGCCTGCAAACACCTATCAGCCCCTCACCCAGGCTGGCCAGGCACTCCTCTATAATAAAAGGGTAATATGCAAATTGACCCTAACAGAATGGCTGGGAATGACTGGTCACTATGACACACACTGACCACCAGAGGGCAGACGCTCAATGCAGGAGGTGCCCCCTGGTGGTCAGTGCGCTTCCACAAGGGAAGCTCTGCTCAGCCACAAGCCAGGCTGATAGCTGCCAGTACAGCGGTGGTGGTGGGAGCCTCTCCCGTCTCCTCAGCAGCACTAAGGATGTCAGACTACAGCTTAGGCCTGCTCCCACTGGCAAGTGGACATCCCCCGAGGGCTCCCGGGCTGCCAGAGGGATGTCTGATTGCCAGCTTAGGCCCAATCCCCCCCCGGGAGCGGGCCTAAGTCAGCAGGTGGTCATCCCCCGAGGGGTCCCAGACTGTGAGAGGGCACAGGCCGGGCTGAGGGACCCTTCCACCCGCCCCCCCGCCCCGAGTACACAAATTTTTGTGCACCGGGCCTCTAGTACTAGTAATAAAAGACTAATATGCAGATTGACTGAATGGCAGAACGACCAGTCACTATGATGCACACTGACCACCAGGGGGCAGACGCTCAACGCAGGAGCTGCCCCTTGGTGGTCAGTGCACTCCTGCAGGGGGAGCACCACTTAGTCAGAAGCCAAGCTCATGGTTGGCGAGTGCAGCGGCATTGGCGGGAGCCTCTCTTGCCACTGCAGCAGCACTAAGGATGTCCGACTGCCGGGTTAGGCCCACTCCCCTGAGGGCTCCTGGACTGTGGGAGGGTGCAGACCAGGCTGAAGGACCCCCCGCCCCCCACCCTGAGTGCATGAATTTTGTGCACAGGGCCTCTAGTATATATATATTCTTATAAAATCTGTCAGTTTTGCCTACTTTTAAACTTTGCCTAAATGGAATCATATTGTTATATATTCTTGTCATTTTTTTTAATGTGTTCTTATTGATTTCAGAGAGAGGAAGAGATAGAAACATCAATAATGAGAGAGAAACATTGATTAGCTGCCTCCTGCACACCCCTACTAGGGATCAAGCCTGCAACCAGGCATGTGCCCTGACCAAGAACCAAACTGTGACCACCTGGTTCATGGGTCAACGTTCAACCACTGAGCCACACCAGCTGGACATATTCTTGCCATTTTGTATTCCACATTACGTTTTTTGAGATTTTTTCACGAAATTGTAGCTTATTCAGTTACACTATGTAAGTACTCTACCTTTTATTATTTATGGACAATTGAGTTGTTTCTAATGTTTTTGCTATCACTACAGTATTACTATGAACTTATTTTTTTCAAATTTTACAATTAAAAAATGTAGTAAAATATGCCAAATTTACCATCTTAATCATTTTTTTAAGTGTGTATTTCAGTGACATTAAGTAACTTTCTCACTGTTGTGCAATCATTGCCACCGTCCATCACCAGAACTCTCTTCATCTTGCAAAACTGAAACTCTACAACCATTAAACAACTCCCCATTTCTGCCTCCTCTGACAACCACCATTCTACTCTCCCTCTATGAATGTGATTACTCTAGTTACCTCATATAAGTGAAATCAGGTATTTGTCCTTTTGTGCTGGCCTGCTTCACTTAGCATGTCTTTAAATTTCATCCATGATGTAGCATGTGTTAGAATTTCCTTCCTTTTTAACTTTTTAAGGGGAATAATATTCCATTTTATGCATACGTAATATTTTGTTTATCCATGTAGGAACATTCATATACACATACAGAGTGTCCCAAAATATGTATACACACTTTATCAACTAATAGCTCAATTTTGAACATGAAGTGTATTTTAATAAACACTGCTTTTATAATTATTCAAAGTATATATATATTTTTGGGGGGACACCCTATATACTTGAGGAAGAATTTCCTTTGGATATATACCAAAGAATAGAAAGGCTTGGCCATAAAGAGCATGAAAATTTGACTTTACTAGATAATGCGAAACAGTTTCTCAGAGGTTGTACCAATTTTTATTTTATCAGCAGAATACAGAGCTATTAATATTGTCAGATTTTTATAATTTTGTCACTTTTGAGGCTGTGAATACATAACTCAATGTGTTTTCATTTGCTATTTTCCTGGTTACTGATAAGACTGAGCACCTTTTCATACATTCATTAACCATTCAAGTTTCCTTCAGAAAATTTTTCTATCAGGTAGTTTGTCTTTTTCTTATAGATTATATTTTTTGGTTATGAATCTGTGATCAGATATGGCAGAAATATAACTCCTGATTTGGAGCTTATCTTTTCACTCTTTTTTGGAAACTTCTAAGGAGCAAACATTTTCAATTTCAATGTAGAAAAATTTATCACTTTTTCCTCTATAGTCTATAACTTATTTACTTTTAATCCTCACTTGAGGACATGCTTCTATTGATTTGAGAGAGAAACATCAATGTGAGAATGAAACATTGATCGGCTGCCTCCCACAGGCACCTGACTGGGGATTAAACCCACAACCTGGGTATGTGCCTTGACCTGGAATTGAACCCGAGATCTTTTGGTGTACGGGATGATGCTCCAACCAACTGAACCACACCAGCCAGGGCAGAGTCTATAATTTTTACCTTACTTAAAAAAATTCTCTCTAGTGGAAGTTTATAAAAGTACTAGAGGCCCGGTGCACGATATTTGTGCACTCGGGGGGGGGGGGGGCGGTCCCTCAGCCCGGCCTGCGCCCTCTTGTGGTCTGGGAGCCCTCAGGGGATGTCCGACTGCCAGCTTAGGCCAGCCATGAGCCCAGCTTCTGTCTGAGTAGTGCTCCCCCTGTGGGAGCGCACTGACCACTAGGGGACAGCTCATAGTGACCGGTCGTTTGGCCATTCAGTTGATTTGCATATTAGCCTTTTATTATATAGGATTTTCCCATATGTCTTTCCAAAGGTTTGTCTTTTACACTTAGGTCCTTAATTAACCTAACATTGATCTTTGTATGTACATTGAGATAAAGGTCAATTTTTATTTCTTACATATGGGTAACTAATTGTGCCAGTGCTATTTACAGAGTAATCCATCCTTTCTTCACCAATCTTTAATATTGCCGTAGTCATATATCACGTGTCCACATATGTGGTGAGTCTGTTTCTTCTTCTCTATTCTGTTCCATGATTTACTTGCCTGAATTTATTCCACTTTTAACTTTTAAATGTTTAAAGATTAATTAAAGAATAAACGAAGAGTTTTTTTATAACACCTTAAATGAAATATCTATAAATGAAAAACTTTTAATGTGACTATTTTCTAAAAGGCAAAATTTTCAAACAGTTGTGTGTGTGTGTGTGTGTTTTGTTGTTGTTTTGTTTTTTTTGTTAATCCTCATCTGAGGATATTTTTCCATTGATATTTTTAGAGAGAGCGGAAGGGGGGGGGAGACAGAGAGAAACATGGATGTGAAAAAGACATATCGATTGGCTGATTAAGCTTGCCACCAAGGTATATGCCCTTGACCAGAATCAAACCCGGGACCCTTCAGTCAGTCAGCAGGCTGACACACTATCCACTGAGCCAAATTAGCTAGGGCTAAACAGTTGTTTTTAGAATTTCATTTAGTATAAGATTAAAAATTAAGTGCTAAATTGAAAATAAACTTTAAACTTACCTTTCTTTCAGTAATATCATAAACTTTATTGGTTTTGGTAGAAATTTTATATTTCTGTTTTGGTACCTAAAGAAAAAAATGTATGGCTTACAAAAGAATTCAAGTAATAAACTTGAACTTATGTTACAAATTATCTATATATCATGTCATTAGTTTATAACCTCAGTTTCTTGTTCTTTCTACAAAGAACTTCATTAAATATAAAAATTAAAAGTATATATGTTTTAAAATTACTTACTATTCCTAGCTTCTTGTGACATAAGGGATAACCACAGAGCTTGATAATAGAACGTTCATCCACGACATCGCTGTAGTGAGCAGGTGTGATACACTTCCCCTGTAATGAAATAAAAGGGGCATCCCCCAATCCCAGATTATTGGAAAAAGTTCCTATCAGCTTTCTAAGCCCCATAAATGTTATCTGAAAATACGAAGATAATAACACTACCTATCTCATAGGTTTGATATTAGAATCAGAGGAAAAAATACAGAATAAGAACTCAGAAGAGTGCTCAACATGTAGTAAGTACTCAAAAAATAAAAAAAGTTCTGCCACAGTAGACTATGCATCTTTGTAGATTACATAGTTCATGAAAAAATTCTGAGGCAGGAGGAAGAGATGGTGTTATAGTGAGTGTTATACCAAAGCAAAATACTGATAGTACATTTTATTTTAAAAAATTATTATTATTAAAAAAATAAAGCACATAAAATAACAAGATATAATTTTACCTATTTTTAAAGCACAATCTAAAAAAATAAAGTATAACAAAGGTCAAAGTGACTCCTGACCAAATTTTTGTGCAAAATCTTCCAGCTTCTGAAAAACTGTACAAGAGAATGCTGAAGTGATAGTTATAAGCTAACACCAAATTTTTTTCCATTGGTATCTTCCTCTTCAAATAATCTCACTTCTTGAGATTATTTTTGAAGAATTTTTTCTGTATTAGCAGGGACTGAACAATTTTTTATTGAGAGTACTATAAGGTACTTATTTCAAATGAAGCATTTCTGGTTTAGAGTCATCATGGTACACAGATTTTTATGCAGTTACTTATATCAATTTAAATTTATCACATTTATATTCCTCTTTAGAAAAATCTAAAAATTACTTCTGCAATAGAAGCTCTGAGTTTTAATTTTCCATTTTTTTTTTCTCTTAAGGATTATGAGGACATAATATAAATTTCCATTCAAAAATTTCATATAATAGAGCCATTAAAGAAAACAAGCAAAGCCGAAACCGGTTTGGCTCAGTGGATAGAGCATCGGCCTGCAGACTGAAGGATCCCAGGTTCAATTCCGGTCAAGGGCATGTACCTGGGTTGCGGGCACATCCCCAGGGGGTGTGCAGGAGGCAGCTGGTCGATGTTTCTCTCTCATCGATGTTTCTAACTCTCTGTCTCTCTCCCTTCCTCTCTGTAATAAATCAATAAAATATATTAAAAAAAAAAAAAAAAAGAAAACAAGCAAAGCAAAAATGCAGATTATAATTTTCTTGTTAAGTGTTAAATCATAAAGGATCTATATTTGAGGTTTTAAAATATCCAAATTAATGGAATTACATTAACAAATACGATCTCCTGTTACTAAAATAGGACAACATACAGAACATGGAAAATGACATTGGAATCATTAGTGCAAATGATGAAAATAAAATAAGAATAGCAGAGTGGTTAAAACAATTACTACTAAGGGGTGAAATATTTATGTTATTTTTCATTAGTGCATTTAACGTCATTATAAAAGAAATACATGTGATTATTTTTTAATGCACAAATTATATAGCATGTTACCTGCATGTGGTGACTAAGAACAGATTCAAAGATTTCAATAATGCAAGTTTCATGTTGCACATATTTAAAGATTTTCTACTACAAAAATAATAATCTGTGAATACATACACACTCCATTAAGAATTCTTCTGTAATATTCTCTTCTAAAAGTTGTTCAACAATATGTAGAGCTTTTCTCTCAAACTCAATCTTCTTTCTCACAGTCTCTTTTAGTTCTGCTTTCCTAAAATTAAAAAAGAATTATTTAAAATGTAACTTATTGAACTTGTAAGTTTTATATAGCCAATTTTCTGTTTTAAAATACACTAACAACTTACTATTTGCTACCTAAATTTATGTTTTTAATGCTGTTACTTTTGACTCAATACTTTTCGAAAAGGAAACAAGCTACTTGTACTGGACACATAGAAGGTCAGTCACAAAACTAGATTTGCAGAACCCAGAGTACAAGGAAGAATTTCAGAAATTCCTACAGAAAAGAAAATGAGGTGAAATCTTTTTGCCAATTATAAGTTTATACTCGATTACTTCTGTGGGTAACTAAAAAGGGAGGCTTATCCCCTGAAATATTTATAAATAAGAAGAGATCAGAGAGGAAAAAATATAATTTTGGCTCTTCTTACAAGTAAAAATTTGTGTCAAGTCTCAAGGTCAACAGATGGCACAGTTTGACAAGAGAGAGTCATATTTGCAAAGAAGTGTTTACTTACTTTTGTTGTAAGTTTCATTAAATAACTATATTGATATGACTATGGTTTAGGAAAATAGCAATCTTCCTTGGAAGACTGGTCCTTGTCCTGGCACCAATGGGGCTCTGTCAGCTTTTGTGTGTCCCACACATTATGAACATAAAGCACGGGTTATCAGATCAAACAACGGCCCCAGGACAGTGGTTCTCAATCATAGCTCCACCTGATGAGATTTTTCAAAAAGATACTATGCCCAGGTCCCACTGCAGGCTCATTAAATCATAATCTCTGAGGATGGGGTCTGGTTATTGGTGTTTTCTTAAAAGTGATCCAAACAATCTTTGTGTGCGACTGGATTGAGAATCATTGTCACAAGACCAAAGATACCAACTCTCTTGGTGATGCATTTGCTCCTACCTAGCATTGGTGTCTACTTGCCTCCTAAACCAACCTTTGCTGACCTCCTGGACCTTGACTTGGCTCTCATATCTGGACCTAGAATATACTCACCTTTTCTCCCTACCTTCAAAATGTTAGATTCTAATTCCTTCCCTGAAACAATATCTTACAAAACAATTTTGAGGACTGGCACAGGATTGCTAACTAGGAACACATAAGGACATTACAACAAGAATAAATTTACAACTAACACCTGTTCTCCCATCATTTCATAAAGGCCATGCTTACATCAAATAAGTATAAAAGACACGGACACAATTAAAAAAGCAGTTCTTCATACTGACTATATTTATATCTAGCTTTATGAAAAACATTTTATTTTTCTCATTTTGCTGCCTACCAATAAAAGCTATGTATGTCAGGTACTAAGATCAGTACATAACTGGCATTAGGAATTGCTGACTTAGCATTAACTATCTCAACCCATAATAACTTCTATTAACTGATAGATACCTACAGCTGCTTCCCATGGATACCCAAGTCTCACAGCTGCCCTCTCTCAGAAATAATGACAGGTAGTGTGGTATACAGCAGTGGTTTTTGGTCTCACCATTCCTTTACACTCTTAAAATTAGAGCTTTTGCCTATGTAAATTATATCTGCTGACACCATATTAACACATTGTATGAGGGAAATGTATTTATACATCTTACTTTTACGTTTTACGTTGACTGGTAGTAGAGCGCGGGACATGTATTAATACATTTTTTATACACTAGCGGTAGAATGCGTGTAACGTATAAATACGTAAACTAAAGTTATCGTAATTTTACTGAACGTTGCCATTTGCGCAAAAAATTAGCAAAAATGGCCCCCGCCACCTGTTAGCGCGCGATAAAAACTACCCGCAAACAATGTGTTAAAAGTGAGAAAAATTTAAACCATTTATTTAATATCTAAATAAAAAATTTGTGCACTTGGGGGGAGGGGGGAGTCCCTCAGCCCGGCCTGTGCCCTCTCGCAGTCTGGGACCCCTTGGGGGATGTCCACCTGCTGGCCGGGGAGCGGGCCTAAGCTGGCAGTCAGACATCCCTCTGGCAGTCCAGGAGCCCTCGGGGGATGTCCACTTGCCAGTGGGAGCAGGCCTAAGCTGTAGTCGGACATCCTTAGTGCTGCTGAGGAGGCGGGAGAGGCTCCCGCCACCACCGCTGTACTGGCAGCCATCAGCCTGGCTTGTGGCTGAGCAGAGCTCCTCCTGTGGGAGCACACTAACCACCAGGGGGTATCTCCTGCATTGAGCGTCTAACCCAGGGGTGGGCACACTTTTTGACTCGAGGGCCACAATGGGTTCTTAAACTGGACCGGAGGGCCGGAACAAAAGCATGGATGGAGTGTTTGTGTGAACTAATATAAATTCAAAGTAAACATCATTACATAAAAGGGTACGGTCTTTTTTTTCAATAGTTTTATTCATTTCAAATGGGCTGGATCCGGCCCGCGGGCCGTAGTTTGCCCATGGCTGGTCTAACCCCTGGTGGTCAGTGTGTGTCATAGTGACCAGTCATTCCCAGTCATTCTGCTGTTAGGGTCAATTTGCATGTTACCCTTTTATTATATAGGATAGAGGCCTGGTGCATGGGTGGGGGCTGGCTGGTTTGCCCTGAAGGGTGTCCCAGATGAGGATGGGGGTCCCGCTGGGGTGCCTGGCCACCCTGGGTGAGGGGCAGAGGTCTGTTTTCAGGCTGGCCACACCCCCTTCAGGGTGGGGGTCCCCACTGGGGTGCCTGGCCACCCTGGGTGAGGGGCTGATGGCTGTTTTCAGCCTGGTCAAGCCCCCCAGTGGGGATCCCAGTAGGGACCCTGACCCCATGGGAGTGTGGCCAGCCTGGGTGAGGGGCTGATGGCCGTTTTCAGGCTGGCCATGCCAGCGGGCTAGAAGCAGGTATCTGGGATTTATTCAACTTCTAAAATTGAAACTTTGTAGCCTTGGTCCAGTTCGAAGCCTGGGTTGCCCAACCCAGGTTCCCAGCCCCTTCTTGAACGGAGGCCACACCAGCTGGAAGCAGGTATCTGGGATTTATTTATCTTCTATAATTGAAACTCTGTAGCCTTGAGTGGAGCCCAGTGCCAGCCAGGGCAGGCCGGGAAGCTTGGCTTCCTCCATCGCCAGGGGCAACCCAAGCCTCCTGCTCGCTCCAGCTCTGTGGCCGCCACCATCTTTATGAGGGAGTGAGGGAGTGATGGTTAATTTGCAAATTACTCTTTTATTATTTAATAATATACCTGTTACATGTTAATATATATATATATATATATATTTAAATATTTTTATTTATTTCAGAGAGGAAGGGAGAGGGAGAGATAGAAACATCAATCATGAGAGAGTATCATTGATTGGCTGCCTCCTGCATGCCCCACACTGGGGATGGAGCCTGCAACCAGGCATGTGCCTCCACCACGAATTGAACTGTGACCTCCCAGTTCAAAAGTTGACACTCAACCACTGTGCTACGCTGGCCAGGCCATGTTAATATATCCTATATAATAAAACCCTAATACGCAAATCAACCAAATGGTGGAACAACCGGTCGCTACGATGTGCACTGACCAACAGGAAGCAGATGCTCAATGCTGGAGCTGCCCCCTGGTGGTTAGTGCGCTCCCGCAGGGGGAGCACTGCTCAGCCAGAAGCTGGATGCACGGCTGGCGAGCACAGCGGTGGCGGCAGCCTCTCCTGCCTCCACTGCAGGTGAGCGGTAAGGAGAGAGGGGTCCTGGACTGCGAGAGCCCCAGACTGCGAGAGGGATGTCTGACTGCCGGCTTAGTCCTGATGGGGATTGGGCATAAGCTAGCAGTCAGACATCCCCCAAGGCGTCCTGGGCGTCAAGAGGGCACAGGCTGGGCTAAGGGGACCCCACCCCACCCCCAGTGCATGAATTTTGTGCATCAGGCCTCTAGTTTTTAAATAAAAAATTTAGTGTGAATAGTGGAATTGTTTTATATTTTTGAAAACTTTACTTTCTGGCTTAAAAGTATTCACCTGGATTGAATGTGGAAGTATTTTATAGTTGGAATAAATTTATGAAAGATCACTCCCCTCAACAACTATTTGGTTATCCCCATGGCTTTTTAATTGTTTCATCATCTTGAATGGTCTGCTCAAAATACATTTCAGCTTGTCTATATTCTGCAATTTATAGTGCTCAAAATAAGACAATCTCCTTAGGTTTGTGGTCAGATCAGTGTTGAAGACAGTTGCAATATTTCTTAAAACGAAGACAGTATAATCATGCTACCCTACGGGAAATGCAGGCATCCCTCGTTTTATGGCACTTCACTTTATTGCACTTGACAGATGATGCATTTTCTACAAATTGAAGGCAAGATCTCCACTAGCAAAAAGGATTATGACTTGCTTTATTGCGGTGGTCTGGAACTGAACCTGCATTATCTCTGAGATATACCTGTAGTCACCAAAGCAGATCTCAAATCCATCCAATTTCTCCATTCCAGATGATTATCATCCTTAACATATTAAAACTTAAATTTCATCACTTTATTCAAGGTTTCCCATTTGCACGTAGAAAATTTAAATTGCTCTCACAGCCTACCAGGTACTGTATGAATGGAATCCTGCCTTTCTAACCTTTTCCTGTGCTCTGTTCTTGCCTTGCTCAGAATGCTGCACACCACCCTGGATATCTCTCCTTCCATTAGGCAACCAAACCTTTTCCTGTCACAAACACACTGCATCTCTGGCTGGCGGTCTCTCCCCTCACTACTCTGTCTAGTGAATGCCTACTTAGCCTTCAGGACTCAGGTTAATTATTACTTTCTGAGAAACCCTCCCCTGAAAACCCACCACCTTCCCAGCCAACCTACAGCTAAATTAGATTCTGGTTATGAGTTCTGACTCCTTTATAGCGCTTATCACAATTTGTAATTACGTATTTATTTGTGATAATTTAATTGGTATGTCTCTGTTCCGCTAGATAGGAACTGTGTCTATTCTATTCAAAATTATATCCCCAGGTCCTAACAGGTCTGGCGTATCTTACACTAAGTAAATAACTTGAAAAAAAATTAGTAAATTAAGGCCAAAGCCAACACTTCATAAAATACCACAGAAACGTATTTTTAAGTTCATCCTCACAGACTATTCCTATTCTAGGAAACTTTTGTGACAAAGAGATAAATCCAAGAGACAGCACAGGACAACATTTTGCTGAAAATATGCACTTTTCTACAGACACTCATACCTTCATTAGAAATCTAAAAAGTGTCTGATGCTGGTTTTCTGAAAGCGTGGAGCAGGGGGCTGTAACAGTCGAAGTGAGAATTTATAATGCTTCCCAGGTCTCCCCTTCTCATAATAATTTTCTTTTAAGGTAGCACCCATTACTGTTTTTAAAAGTGGTTCAATTAATAGGAGGTAAACAGTCAAATGAATACAGCTGTCCAAATACTAGTAGTTGTCATACCTTTTAGAAGCATCTTCCTGTTTCAAGGTACTTTTCTGTTTAGTACCTAAAATAAAAAAAACCAAAAGACAGTAGGTCAAGTTCTACCCGAATACATTAGGTTCCAGGGCAGATTCCTGCCCAAATAAAGTACCATCTTTTCCACATATCCCATTTCCGATCCTGTGGAATGGGAATCCAATTTGTATCTGTAAGTTAATGACTCCAGAATCGTTCCCGGTTAACACGTATCTCTTTCGGGGTTGAATTTTCTCCTGTAACACAGTTGCAGTGATGCACTCCTGAAAAATCTAAGATGTGGGTACTTTTAGGGGTAACCTCTCTCCGACCCCCAAGTAATTCACTCCCGGGGCCAGGAAGCGACTGGAAGGAGGACCAGTGCCGGGTTCCAGGGCAGCTGCCCACGTCTGCCCACGGGGCCCTGATCACCTGCCCAGCCTGGCGGCCCCAGCCCTAGGCCCCCGGGGCCTCCACTGCCCTCTCCCTCCGAGCCAGGGCACAGCCCCTTCTGGGACACCCTAGATTCTAGGGGGCCTGGAACGCCAGGGTAGGGAGCTGGGGGTCCGGCCACAAGGGAAGGAGCCGGGGGTCCGGCCGCAGGTCTTCCCCGGGAGGCGCGAGGCGGCGGCGGGCGCGCTCGGCCTTCTCCTGCCCTGCGGAGCCTCTCGGGGCGCCCCGCGCGCCTCAGTCCGGCACTCAAGGTGGGCAGAGGCCCTGGAGCCTACCTGCGGCCTTTCGAGAGGCGCGGTGGGCCCGGGCCTTGCGGCCGGCCGGTGACTGCCCGGCAGACTCGGCCATGGGGCGCGACGTCAGGCGCTCCGGTCCGCCTCGGGGTCTCCCTCCGAGGCCCCGCCTCCCTACGCAGCGTGGGGCGGGGCTGGGGCGGACCAGTGGGCGGGCCCGGCTCGTGGGCGGGGCCTGGGGCGGGGCCCAGAGCGGCTGCGCGGCCGGAGGAGGTGAGGAAGACGTAGGAGCGAGAGAGGCCCGGCCGGTAAGTGGGCGCAGGCAGAGGTCCTCGGCGGCCGGGGCCCGCGGCAGACCTTGGGGCGCGGGGATGCGGCACGACGGGCGGATGAGGCCCCGCGAACTGGTGGGGCCCGAGCGCCGGGGCGATTGACAATCGGGAGAAATGGCTTCCCTGGATGCCGCCCGCACGCGCATTGGGGTTTAGCCGCCCCGCTGCGGGGCTGGGGCCGGGCTTCCACGCCGGGAGGAACGATGGGATGGGCTGCGGGAACGGGGCGGGGTCCCCCGAGTCCACGGGCTGGATTCGTTGTTTGAGGGACTGCACTTAGTAAGGAAAGTGCCCGATCACTTGGCGTGGAGGGCATCCGAACTTTCCCCACCGCCGCGTGAGTGGTATTGACTTCAATTTTTGTCAAGTGGGGACATTAAAATATTAAAAACTCCCTATTGATTATAAGTGATTTCAAGCCCAACTTTTGGAAATAGTTTCAGAAATGAAATACTTTGCATTTTTAATGCACTTTGTATAATCCATACTTGCGATCCTTTTGGGAGTGCTCCAGATGATTTTTTCCCCCCAAGTTGTATCTTTTAGAACTATTCTAAGCAAAACCATGATTTTAAGAAAACCTGAAAGATGCAACAGGAGGTTTTTTTTAAAAAAAAGATTTTTATTTTCTTAGGCTAACATACAACTAGCTTTCAATAAAAGAATTTCAGCTTTAAAACTTTTTTCTTTATTGTACTTACTAATTCATCAGAATGAAATATAACATTAATACTTCAATGTACTATCTCTGGTAGTTAACAGTGTGCTTCAGAACTAGGAAAAACAGCGAGGAATGGCTGTGGAAGAACTTCAATCCATAATAAAGAGATGTGTAAGTAATTTCTTCTTTTTTTTCTTTTTGCAAAGATAAATACCTGCCAAAATACTATGGGAAGGGCACAGATTATTTTTAATTACATTTTCTGTCACTCAAATTGTTTATCTTCTTTAATCCTTGCTTTTTTTGACCTATGAAAAAGCATGAGGGCAGAAAGGCAGATTGGATTATTTGTCCATGTGACATACTCCTCTAAATAACCTTTAAAATATTTAATACTGGTCTTATAGATTTTTTGACACAAGATTTCAAGATCATTCATTAGAGTATTTATTAGGTTAATCATAATTTTCATATATATGTGTATGAAACTTAGGCAACTTACCTAGAATTTTCAGAGATAAAATAAATCAAGTAGTTATTGCATTTTTATTTGCCTAAACATGTTTTGTTTTGTTTATTTTGTTTTTGCCAGCAAATCCTAGAAGAGCAAGACTTCAAAGAAGAAGATTTTGGCCTTTTTCAGTTAGCAGGCCAAAGATGCATAGATGAAGGGCACATAGACCAGCTATTAGAAGTTATTCAAAATGAAAAGAATAAGGTAAGTATGATCTTTGTGTGTACTTTTCAGTCTTTTACTAGGAAGGGAATAGTCATATGATGCTATTATTATTGATCCATTCATTTATTCATCATACATTTAAAAATCAACTTAAGCCCAGCTGGTGGGGTTCACTGTTTGAGCATCAACCTATAAACCAGGAGGTCAAGGCTTGATTCTGGTCAGGGCACATGCCCGGGTTTTGGGCTCCATCCCCAGTGAGGGGCGTGCAGGAGGCAGCTGATCAATGATTCTCTCTTATCACTGTTGTTTCTATCTCTCTCTCCCTCTCCATTTCCCTCTGAAATAAAAAACAAAAACAAAACAAAAAAAACCTAAAAAATAAAAATCAACTTAAATTTCCATAGTAGGAAACTGGAAGAAAAAAAAAAAAGAATTAGGACTATTAGTATATTTTAAGATACAGTCTGGTGGAAGAGATAAACATGTAAACAACTAGAGAATAACTGAAATAAGTGCTACAGTTAAAGTATAATTAAAGTACTTTAGAAGAGCAGGGATTAATCCTGGTTAAGCACCAAAAGTGGCATTTGGATCATTAATTTACTTTGAGAAATATAAATATCAGGAAGGCTAGAAATTCATTTTTGGTAGTTAGCACATTTTTTTCCTCCAGCCAGTTATATATAGAAAACCAAATATCAAGTAAGTTAGTATTTTGACATAAGGAGAGTTGGATAATCTTACTGACCAATATCATCCAGCTACAGTTGTCTGAGAAGTCCATTCCCCACAATGGAAAAGTATGTTTTTTAGATCAGAAACAACTTTTTTTCAGACACAGTTTTGGCAACACTGGTGAATTTTGTGTCTTTGGACTTCTCTTACACAAGGGAAGACTATCTTTCCAGGAACACACTTTGTTTTTCATTTATAGTCCTGTTTATTTATACAGAAGTTTTCTTTGTTGCTATTGCAATCTAGTCATGCTGACCTGTGATTATATCCAGGGCACCTTGATTGTGTTTAGGAGAAAAAAATTAGGACATTTTATTTAAAGCATTTATTTGTTTGTTTTTTAAATATATTTTTATTGATTTCAGAGAGGAAGGGAGAGAGAGATAGAAACATCAATAATGAGAATCACTGATTGGCTGCCTCCTGCATGCCCCCCATTGGGGATCCAATCCAGGACCCTTAAGTCCACAGGCCGAGGCTCTATCCACTGAGCCAAACCAGTTAGGGCTAAAACATCTGTTTTTGATGTGTTTACAGTTCCTTTGTAGCCCAAAATAAAGTAAATGTAATGTTTTCTTTAACTCCTTGAGGATAATCTTTGAAAGTACCTTACTTTTAGCTAATAATAATAAAATTAATAATAGCTAATATTTATTGAGTATTTACTATGTGCCAGATAAGGAAACAGTTGCTGAAGGGTAAGTGACTTGCCCCAAATCCAGGATTTAGACCTATGCAGCCTGGTTTCAGAACTCCTCACCACTCTGCTCTGCCTCCAGTTATCACCATATCGCACTTGCAAGGAAGTTTTAGAGTACACCAGAGGGAATTCATTGATTGTGGGGGTGAGAGAGAGTGAGGCATCAAAGATGACTGGGTTTCTTGCCAGGTGACAGAGTTAAGATTGATTAAGATTTACTATTAATCTGCTTTATGTGAAATGTTTTTCTGAGAAAGCCATATAGTTTGTCCTAAGACACTGTAGTGCCAGGGTTTCTCAATATTGGCACTATTGATGTTTTATAGCAATCCTTACCCCCATTAAATGACAATAAAAAATGTCTCCAAACTGCCACATATTCACTGGTAGGTAGGGAACAAAATTGCCGCCATTGAAAACCACGAGTATAGTGGGAAAAACATGGGGTTTGCAGCTGGCCAGACTTGTATGTAAATCCTGGGTCTACCTCATGTTAGTTGTTGGACATGGGCATGTCAGTAATCTCTAAACTTGAGCATTCTCTTTTGTCAATTAGGGATAATAAGCTTACCCTATAAGTTTATTAATATTAAACTAAACAAGTTTTAGCTCGTGGATTGTCATTATTTTCCCTTCCTCTTAACTATTCACTATTTACATAATGACTGGATACTTGCAGCTAATATTTTATTTGTAAAATATTTTATCAAAATTCTTTTTTTTAGCTCAGTTACACAAATCTTATTCAAATCTTAAATTTATCTTACAGTTAATTATGCTCAGAGACTCACTTATAGGGAAGAAAGGGAAAGAAGTACTTAGTTGGCAAAGTAGTCTCATAACAACTAGTTAAGTTTTAAAAAGTGAGATAGGCACTCATTTGTGGAATATAATGAATGTTATAAACTGATGAACAAAAATAGATACAGAGACAAAAAAGCATTGAACAGACTGTCAAACTTCAGTGGGAAGGCAGGGGAGGGGTGGAGGATGGGGGTAAGAGATCAACCAAAGGACTTGTATGCATGCATATAAGCATAACCAATAGACACACACTAGGGTGGTGAGGACCTGTGCCAGGGGGTGGCGTTGGCCCCAGGGGGAGGTTAATGGGGGGAAAAGGAGACATTTGTAATACTATATGTAATACTTTAAACAATAAAATGAAACTTTTTTTAAAAAGTGAGAGAGGCTTATTTAATAAGTAATGGTGGAGTAAATATTTAGTAATTTTGAAAAAATTAACTGCATAACAAATGCCTGGTTAGTAAGGACCTAAATATTAAAATCCAAGCTATACACACAAAAAACCCCAGAATAAAACAGAACAGAATATGAAATCTTTCATGGGAGGATACTTTGTTACACTTAAAAAGTAGCAGACATCTTTCAACCTGTATTTATGGAATACCTATTTTGTAATAGGCCCTACTCTAGATACTGGGAATAGAAATAGCAGAACAAAAATCAGTGCTCCGGTGGATTTATGCCAAGGAAGATAAGATATGTACATGATAAATAAATTATATAGTATGTTAGAAAGTGATAAACACCATAGAGAAAAATAAAGCATGCTTAGGGCTTGGACTGTTACATAGAGATTTAAAGGAAGCAGGGGTATAAGCTATGGGACTATCTAGGAGAAGAGTGTGCCAGGTAGAAGAACTAACTAGTAAGAAAAGAATATTCAGAGAGATCAACTGAGCTGTTTTTCCATTTAGGTAAGAAGCATGATTACTTTACTATTAGTTTTTAAAATATTTAAGTCTTCATTTTATACCATAGTTCCAACGTAATTCTCATTAAATAAAAAGAAAGATGAAATAATTTGTTTTTTAAAAACCTAAATGAATGTTTATAGATCTAAAGAGGGAATTTCATTCTAGAACTAAAAGAAGAAAAGGGACCAACAACAACAAAAATCAATATATTTTGCTATTTAAAAATAAGGACCAAAACACCAAATGATTATTTGTCATAAATACATCAAAATGAATATTAACATCTAGGAAAAGCATGCAGATTGATAAAAGTTGTTTTTTTTAATTGATT